TCGTCTTTTCCATAACTTTAAAAACAGAGCCATTATCTATACCTTGATGACTGGACCCCAAGTAAACATGTACTCACAATTTATATTACTGTCTCTTAGGGTGCAGACACTGAGACCCCATTACTTCCCTCCTCTAGGTACCCACCCAGTCCATCTTGTTAATCACCCTACAAGGGCCAAAAAGCAAAGCCTTATGGGGAGTAAACATCACCGGCATAAACAAAAGGGCTCAAGGTATGACTCCCATCACCCCTGGAAGCTTACCAACTTGTTTGCATGTTCCAAGATGCCCAAGTCACTGATTTTACAAGGGTAGTAGGTTAGACATGAGGTACGGCAGCACAGGGAGTCAGAGTTCACAGGACAGGCCAATCAACACAACTCGCCTAGCTATGGCTGGCTTTATGGAACCTTACCAAAAAACCTCAGTTATGCTCCTTCCATATCTGTAAACCACCCCTCACTCACACAAGCAACTGTGTCCCTTGGCAGGAAATTATTCTTTAGCCACTTCAAATTTTAGCAAGCTACTCATGCAGCCTTCCCAGGAGACATTCAGGCATTCTCATTTGAAAACTTTTCCTTCCTTTCTGTGTCTGTGTTTGTTTACTCATTGTGTTGATTCAGCCTATTCATCCAGTGAGCAGGGATAACATCTAATTATATTTTTCACCAAAACATTAACATGTTATCAATGCCTAGCAAGTAAGAAAAATAATAATGCCCTATGCTTCCCTTTTTTTTTACATCAGGACTTCATCGGCAAAAAGAGACTTCTGAAGGGTGGGTGTGGTTGATTAAAAATATACTGGGCTTCTCTGCCCTGATACATGATGGCTCAGCCTGGTAAGTAGGGCATGCAGCTATCAGGCACTAACCTTCTTGTTTTGTTTTTGTCTCCTACTTCAAAGGACTAACACTAGTTTCATAACAAAATTCATAGCAAAAACTGTTCTTTTCCCAAAAAGTATGCCCTGACCACCACGAACTATCAATTAGAAATTCTTAATTATAATTTTATGTTCCTAGATGCTTCAGAACTTCCTAAGAGTCTAATTACCCAACCTTATCCAAGCTTTTGATACACCTTTCCTTAACACACACCTCTCAGCCTATGGCACAAACCTTTCCAGTTCTCTCTGGTGAAGCCAAGATCGCTCTTTTGAGCAACCCCTGAACTTAACCAGTCCACTGAGATCTAGGAAAAGCACAGTATTCCTCAATAAGGCTTTATTTTTCTCCTTTAATTCTTATTTTTATTGGGACATATTCACTTGCAGTACCTAATGATTCTATTCATAGAGGAGAGTTGGCACATATACATAACACATCTTAAATTTTTCCTCTCCTCAGTTCCACTCTCCCTCCTTGTATCTCTTCATTACCTTCCGTTTGGCAAAAGATCAGTCTTCCTGTTTCCTAATGTCTATCTTTTATTTTCCTTTTTATCTTATTTATTTATACATTGAGTTTCTCATATACGAGAAACCATCTAATATTTAAATTGTGTGTCTAATTTGTTTCACTTAACAATATGGTCTCATGGTATATCCATTTCCTTCCAAATGACTCAACTTTACCCTTCTGTAGGGCACAGTAGTACTCAGTTCTGCATAAATACCATATTTTCTTTATCTATTTATCTTTTGATGGGCATAAACTGCTTCCAAGATTTCACTATTGTGAGATGTGCTGCTATACACATGGGTATGCATGCATGACTGTAATATGATGTCATTAACTTCTTCAGGAAGATACCCAGCAGGGGAATAGTTGGATCAAATGTAATTTCTATATTTCAGTTTAGGGTGAATCTCCATACTGATTTCCATAGTGGCTGTACTGGTTTACAATCTCACCAGCAATATAGAACAGTTCCTTTTTCCCAGCAGCCTCACCAGCAAGTGTTGTTTTAGTTTGTATTTCTCTACCAAGCCTTTCTTGATCATAATAGTCCTGCCCCTAGTTAATAAGAATCATTTTAACAACTCTTTCTGAAATAAGATGGAATAACAGTGTTGCTTTAGTTTGCATTTCTCTAATATGCCTTTCTTGATCCTAATAGTTTTCTCCCTATTAATAGGAATCACTTAATATCATTATGATGACTCACTCTGGAATTTGGAATATACCAAGATCTATGAAGTTAACTGTGCAATGTGGAATATATCAGGAAGCCAAATGGACAAAAGAACTAACATTTGGTTTGTATCAAAGTACATCAGCAGCTGTAGACAGCAGAATTCCTCAGATCAACTCAACACTACACAGGTATTTGTGCCACATCTTTGCTTTTTTTCCCCTAAGTGACATTGATGAGTTTCTTGCCTGCAGTGACCATTTCTGATATGGGTTCAGAATCCTCTACAACAACTAATACCAATATTGCTGGACATACAGAAAATATAGTAAATTCTCACTGATTTGCTCCACATGGAAGCCAAGATTATTATCAGATTGAACTCTAGAGTGAAATCACACTGAAACAACAGATTAGTAATAGAGCATTGATGGTAAGTCTGACAATATTCTCAACTTCATAGAGAGACCTCCCTGCATGTACTTTCAGCAGGGGGCTTGTATGTGGAGGGAAGGGGCAGATTGACAGAATCAGAATCAGACTTCCAATGGTCTTAAAGACAAAATGGACCTATAGCAGTGTCCCTACCAAAGCTGGTAGACAAGAGAGGCAAGAGGCAAGAAAGACAAGAGAGGACCTTGTTGTGACTATGTTGTTTGCATTCCCTCAGCACTTTTACAGAAAGAACACACAAGCTATTTCTCCTGGAAAGAAATGTCTATCTCTGTGGGAGGCAGAAAAGGAAGCACCACTCTGAGTTCCCTCCCTGCTTAATAGGAATTACTTAATGTTGCCAGATGACACATGATACTGTTCACTGCAGATGTAAGGTCATTGCTTTATCTCCTCTGTCCCATCTGTGCTACATCACCAACACTGACACAGTCTCTAAACAACATGATTATGCCACAGCAAGGGTACCATATGTCAATAGGAAAAGTTGAAATTAAGTAACTAAGTTCTTAACTGAGCCTCTTTAAAAATGTTTATTGTTGTTGTCACTGTTCCAACATTTCTTTTCTAGTTCAGGTAGTAATAAAGTATTAGACAATGTCACCAGCACCTTTTTGTAACACAATCGTCCCTCCCACAAATGTTAATTAAACACCTATAACATGTAGGCATCATTCCAGAAATTACAGAGGATAAATGAATACAACTCTGCTTCTGCCCTTAAGAATACAGAAAGATAATTAAAAATAAACAAAAAATACCTCATAAAGAACTAATAGGGAGCCACATAATTTCTGAGCAGGGACCAATTCTCCTAATCATTACCTGGAGATTTAATATTAACAAAACCATAAGGTTTATAAAACAATATCTACATGAAACAGAAAGTTGATTACTTTCAAAAATGCAGACTTACTTTCTTTTAGATAATTTCCCATTTACCTCTCCTAACACTTGTTTGCCTCTTGACAAAAGAATAGACAGTGTGTTTTCCAGATCTATGATCTCTGTATCTGTGAACTTAACTCACCACAGAACAAAAGCATTTGAAAAAACAATCCAGAAAATTTCAGAAAGCAGAACTTGAGTTTGCCAGAAACCAATGCTATCTGCATGCATGCAAATGAAGTGATGTGTCAGCACTGTACCAGGTATTGAGTGATCTAGACATGGTTCAAACTACATAGGAGGCTGTGTAGGGTCTATATTAATACTATACCATTTATACAAGGAATTTAAATTTCTGTATATTTTAGAAGATTTTATGTCTTGACACCAATCCCCTGCGGACACTGAGGGATGAGTACATTAATTTTTGACAAATGCTTATTTTAAAAAAACTCTCTGAAGAGCAAGTTTTATTTTCTTTCATCACAACCTTGCTGCAAAAGAATTAACAAGGCTAATAATATAGTTTTGCATGTTTGGAAGACATTACAGCTTCCAAAACATTTCCAACAAATACTAGCAGAATAATAGATCTCATTTGGTTGCCACAAAATCCTGAGGAGCAGGCAGGGGCAGTTTATTGTTGTGGCTGTGTAGGCATGTGTTGTTATTATTATTATTTTCATGATGCACAGGAAAATCTGAGGCCTGGAAGAATCTCGCGAGTGACAGTGACAACTGGCATTTGTTAGACTTATCAGATGAAAAATAAGATTGCTGGATAAGCCCTTCAATCTAAAATTTCTTACAAGTTATTACACTTGAAAACACATGTTCCTCCAGTATATGGTCCCTGGAAAATAACACCCTCCCCACCCTGCCACACTGAGCACTGAGATCCCCAGCTCTCTTCCTCTACTTCCAACTTATTCCCTCCTGGGCTGCAACCCAGCCTCTTCTCTCACCCTCTGTCACAGCAGAAGACCAAACTAAGCCACCTGTTCTTCCACCATAAGGAGCCAAAGTCCCTGAACTATGTCCTTCAGGAATGTCTGCATGTTAAAACTTCATTGTAATTCTGCTGGGGACATCTCCACTCTGAGGAACACTGAATTTAGAGCATTAGCCATTAGGGAGTGTGTCTGAGGGGATAAGGGATCCATGGCTGCTGAGACCCTCACATAGCATATCCCCCACCCCACAAATGAGGGCTTCTGAACTCGTCCTCAGGGTCAGATGAAAGAGGTTGCACCAATGCATCTTGCCCTTATTCGTGAAGGCAACTTCAAGGACAACAATGACAGAACAAGCAGAGAAAGCCCATTGGGTTTTGAAGGGCTGCAGTACATATTTAAAAAATAAACAATGTGTGAAGCAAGCAGAGACTGTGAATGAGGTCCCTGGCCCCCACTCCCCACCCACAGAGTCATTTATTGTCTGACCCTGCACTGCATAGACACACACAGTGGTTCTGAAAACTGTGCCCAAGTCCCAAGAGAGCCTCCTGGAGCCCTGTGTCCATGGCTCTGGTGGCTCCTTGTTCCTCTTGAACCCAATGAGTGGTTGATGTTGTCCTTACCTCATAGTGGGCCACACGCTGGGATTCTGATATCAGTTGTGCACTGCACACCTTGCAGTAACTGTCTGTAAACAAATCCTGATCAATATCGGAGGACTTCATCAGGCTAAAGGAGAATCAAGAGAGAAGAAAAGAAAAGTGAGTCCACTGTTTTGCTGGGATGGAGGTCATGCACCGCGTGAAAAGCCAGGCCCCCAAAACAAGTGCGATGACTGTAACAGCGGGGTAGGTCTAACCAGACTTGATGTTACCATAGCAATTAGCCATAATAAGCATACATTTTATAGTTCTCTCATAAATGCCAAACAGGGTTCCTGGCACCCTAAAAACTAAAAATCCAGCTTTAATTTTTGTTTGTAAAACCAGACTTCTATCTAATATGTTATCAAGGATTTATATGAGAGGATATTTACACATGTGATATATATTAACAGAGAATTTGAAAGCACCAACAGGAAATATTCTAAAGCACCAAAAGGAAAGACGCAGCAAAAGCAAACAGGACAAAAAAAATCTGATACATCGACACAGTGGAATACGATGTTTTCACAAATGGTAATCTAATCAAGTTCCTATTTAAGAGAACGTTTAGTGAAACAGAAAAAGAAGTTTATGAACAATGTGCACAGAATTATACTGTTTTAATATACATATATATGTGCATAGAAAAACACTCAGGTATTTTTGCAAAATTTTAATAGCAGTTATCATTCAAAGATTATAGGTAATTGCTTTTAAACTTTTATTTTAAAAAATTCTCATAATGCACATTCATTGCTTTTTGTCAATAGGTGATCTTAGTCAAAAGCCCTATTAGCTACATAAAAACTAGGCTTTAGTTCAATAGCTATATAGTGCTTACAAAATTAAAAACTCAGACCAAACGACAAACTTTTTTGCTATCTCATAAATTGTAACATGAAGAGACCTTGCCATTCATGCTGCCTTCTGCATTTAGGGCTACTGGAATCCATGAAAGCCACTTCTACTAACAAACCCATGACAGTAAATAAACATATCCTCCAATTCCAAAACCCACACCAAAATGCACCCAAGGATCTCGGACCTGGACATTGATCAGTCAGAAATGTGTGACAACAGCCAAAGGGTCATTAACCATGTATACACACACACCAGTGCATCAGAATGTCCAAGGTCTGCTGCCTTCTACCCCCTACTTCTAGGTACAAAGGAAGGGACATGCACACAAAAATCTATACAGAAGGATAAGAGAATCTCAGTAAATAGTAATGAGGTACACATGCTGGAGTTCACTTTACCTACAGGACTGGCCCAAATTGCATCACTTATCAGCATGGCCAGTAATGCTAACTTGCATAATTCCACTTTTCACACAGCATGTCCATCCCAGATCAAATGCTTCCATGTGATGTTGTGTGAATCATTCACTCAAATCTCTAAGTCTCAGTTTTCTCCCATAAAAATGGAAATAATGTTTACCTTGCCTCTTCAGAGACTACAATGAGATCAAAGAAAAGAAAAAAGAAATGGGGAGAACATGGAATAGACTGGTGGACACCCAGTGGCTGGTCACCAAGCCATTCAACTTCAGTGATGCCTGCAGGCTGCCACACAACTTCCTCGAGGTCCATGTGAGCAACCCACATTAGGGGGAGGATGCCCGAGGCTGCTTCACCACCTAGAAGGTCAGCATCCACACAAATCTTCCCAATTTCAAGCCAAGGGAATCTTCAGTAGAGGAAGATACCATGGCTTTGAATGGCTACAAGTGAATTAGAAAGAGAGAGCAACGTTATGTTGCCCCACTCCCCGGGAAAGTATTTTTGTGTCAACTTGCAATTAGAGGAGATGATGGCATATTTGAGAACAATTTTATTGAGGAAAGGAAGTAAGTGTTGGAGCTATTTATAAACATGGTCATTGGTCATCCTCTGGCATAGAATGAATGTTGTTTCCACATGTTTTTAGAAGATGAAATAATAGATCAAACCTATACTCCATCTAGAATAAGACATGCTTAACATTTGGCAAGAGGCAAAAATGTAATCATTAATGACTCATATGTGCCAATGTAGACATTCTAACTATTGTTTAATATGCTATACAGAAACTGGTATAACGTGCCTTCAGTATAGTAGCACTCATGTGCTTGGTTTTGTTTGGCAGTTGACAAGTTAATTTGCTTTAGTGAAAATCTCTCATTCCAGCCTTTCTATATAAATAGCTCTTCCTTGCTGTTTAATGTGATATCTACACTATAGCCTCACAAAGCTTCCCAGATAATCTGCAGTTTCCTTACTAAAGTTTCTTTCTTTCTTTCTTTCTTTCTTTCTTTCTTTCTTTCTTTCTTTCTTTCTTTCTTTCTTTTTCATTTTTCTTTTTTGGTACTAGGAATCAAACTCAAGTCTTTGCACATGCCAGGCCTTATTAAAGTTTCTGATTTGGTCTTATTTGTAAAAGAAAGAAAGAAAGAGAGAAAGAGAGAAAGAGAGAAAGAAAGAGAGAAAAATAGAAAGAGAGAAAGAAAGAAAGAAAGAAAGAAAGAAAGAAAGAAAGAAAGAAAGAAAGAAAGAAAAAAAGAGAAAGAGAGAGGGAGGGAAGGGAAGGAAGGAAGGAATGAAGGAAAGAAAGAAGGAAGGAAAGAAGGAAGGAAAAAAGAAAAGGGCTATATTAACTATAAAACTCTCTGTATTTGTAAGAGACAACTATCATATTTTAATGGTGTCCTGATATTGGTAAAAAGTTGACCAGTTCTTAAACAACACAAAAAAACTAATAATGGGTGATCTCTTTTAAGTAATTTTAAGCCATCTAAATAGCTAAGCTCTGTAAGTAAAGAATCTGCCAGAAATAAAAGGCTGCTTGCCTCAACAACTTGAAATTTTGCCCTTGTCCTTGGCTTTAATGACCCATTCAGGGTATATGTTCTCAATAATTTAAAATGATTCAGTTTCTGGTTTTTTATCACTACCTAGAGCAACCAACAATTACACCAGACACTAAGGACCACCAAATCTCACAGCTGATATGAACCTGTTATTTCTGGCAACATCACTCCCGAAAAATGATTCTGTTGGACTGGGGATGAGCACCTGAAGGGCTTGGAGGTTCACTTTCTCCCTCACAAAGCAACCCACCCCAGAAAGAATGAACACTGGTTTTTAGGTTTTTCTTGAGATGAATCAAGTATGTCCCACTGTAGCTTTCATTCACTGATTCTCTTCTTAGTACACCTCAGAACAGTCGTTTTCTCTCTTTTTCAGAGATTTCCTCCATCAAGGTTTTGGAGATAACTCTCTTCAATCCATCCCCAAGCCCTACCATTCCTCATCATCATGGTTGCATCTACTGCATTATGGTCCATCTTCACCAGCAGTACCAAGAGCAGAATGAGTCATCTGAAGATGATCTACCTGGGGCAGAGGATCGTAGATCTCAATGAGCATATTGGAACACCAATTGTCATTTGCAATGGTCTTATACAGATTCCAGAATGAAAATGGAGAGGAGTAGTTGTGATGATGGGAAAATGTAGTACAACATTTTTGAAGCACCAAATAGGAAAAGAAAACTTAGTCAGTTGTATTTTTAAAGCCAAGTTCCTATAAGTGGTTATGTTTAAATATGGTCATGTTCCCTGCTATTTCTAATAAAGAAGCACACTAAGATAGATTCATGAGTGACCTGGTTAATAGGAATCTCCAAACTCTCTGCACACTCCTTCCTCATTATACAACCAACTGCAGAAATCAAACACTGCGAAAAGATATTCAAGGTACATGTTGGACCAAGAAGGGCCGTAGGAGTCTGTGTCTTGGTGAAGCAGCTGTGCAGCAGAAATAGCTTTAAAGGCAGAATATAAAATGTATACTAAAAAAAAATTCAAAGGAAGAGAAAATACCATGGCTTATTTCACTGTTTTATATAAGAATATTGATTTGAGTAAGTCCATATGCAATATAAAAGGCAATGAAGACCCTTCTGAATCTACAAGACATGAGTGAAATACCTGAGTAAGTTAAATTCCAGTGGGAGGCAATTAGTGGACAAGTGTCAAGCTGGTTTGTGCATGAGCCCTTTCTCCAAAAAACGAGAACTCTCTGTGTAGGTCAGGTTAGACAACCAGAGCATCTGATTTATGATTTAAAGGCTGGAATTCTCAAGAGGGAAAGCTGCCACTTGACTCTCTCCTCTGACTTGTTTGGAATAGGATTTTCAGCTTCCCTGACCTTCAGCACAAGAAAGGTGGTAAGAAACAGAAGGCAGAACAAGCAACCCTTTCTTAGCCCTGTCCGTGGTCCTGAAAAGCTTAGTCCTCACCAGCAGCAGGAGTAGGAATTTGCAGGTCAGTCCATGCAGCCCCATCAGAATCAGTGTCTGGTGACCTCTGTTCTGGACACATGTGTGAAGTAAAGCTTCCTCATTGCTGCCCAACTGCAGCACATCCAAAGGCACAACGACTGAGGTCGTGAATAACCTCTCCATTGCTCTTCAGCATTCATACAGCATAGTACTACCAGTAATATAGCGAAGAGGCCCAAATAGGAGTGGAAGTTATCAGAGTCTGATCAGAGTCTCCTTTTCCATCTCAGGTGTATATACTCCAACAAATCTACTTACACAGGTAGCAGAGACATTCAAAAAGCTGATGTGCAGCTAGGTATAATAAACAAAGGAAATATGGGAAGGGAGCTTTTATTTATTCCATAATGGTTATCAAGAGTGCATTGTGTGTGAGGCACTGATATAACAGAAGACAAAACCCTGCCTCCAAACTCTCATGGATTGTGGGTGAAAAGAAACACATTTACCAGCACTGAGACTCAGGTGTAAGTGTAATTTGGCTGGAAAAAGTGTTCAGAGCATTTGTGCAGACAGAAGAGCATATCAAAGAACTCTACTAGCAGGTTGCATAAGTTGAAAATTGGAAGATGATTAGGATTAGACTGCAATGAAAGGGGTTCCAACTCAGAAGCTAATTCTTTTCCTTGGCACAAAGAAAAGCATTACTGCCAGAAGACACAAGGGGGAACAGTGGTAGGGGCTAATTTGGGAAAACACAATACAAGGCTGAAAGCAGAAAAATGCAAGAAAGAAAAGAAGCTGGAAACTATACTCAAGAAA